TAATAGCTTCTTGTTACTACTAGTAGGGCACTTGTTTCTAAATAGCTTCTTGTTAGTAGTAGGGCACTTGTTTCTAATAGCTTCTTGTTACTACTAGTAAGGCACTTGTTTCTGATAGCTTCTTGTTACTACTAGTAGGGCACTTGTTACTAACAGCTTCTTGTTGCTACTAATAAGGCAGTTGTTTCTAATAGCTTCTTGTTACTACTAGTAACGCACTTGTTTCTAATAGCTTCTTGTTACTACTAGTAAGGCACGTGTTTCTAATAGCTTCTTGTTACTACTAGTAGGGCACTTGTTACTAATAGCTTCTTGTTACTACTAGTAGGGCACTTGTTTCTATTAGCTTCTTGTGACTACTAGTAGGGCACTTGTTACTAATAGCTTCTTGTTACTACTAGTAGGGCACGTGTTTCTAATAGCTTCTTGTTAAGGCACTTGTTTCTAATAGCTGCTTGTTACTACTAGTAGGGCACTTGTTACTAATAGCTTCTTGTTACTACTAGTAAGGCACTTGTTACTAATAGCTTCTTCATACTACTAGTAAGGCACTTGTTTCTGATAGCTTCTTGTTATTACTAGTAGGGCACTTGTTACTAATAGTTTCTTGTTACTACTAGTAGGGCACTTGTTTCTAATAGCTTCTTGTTGCTACTAGTAGGGCACTTGTTTCTAATAGCTTCTTGTTACTACTAGTAGGGTACTTGTTTCTAATAGCTTCTTATTACTACTAGTAAGGCACTTATTTCTAATAGCTTCTTGTTACTACTAGTAGGGCACCTGTTTCTAATAGCTTCTTGCTACTACTAGTAAGGCACGTGTTTCTAATGGCTTCTTGTTACTACTAGTAGGGCACTTGTTTCTAATGGCTTCTTGTTACTACTAGTAGGGCACTTGTTTCTAATAGCTTCTTGTTACTACTAGTAAGGCACTTGTTTCTAGTAGCTTCTTGTTACTACTAGTAGGGCACTTGTTTGAAATAGCTTCTTGTTACTACTAGTAGGGCACTTGTTTCTAATAGCTTCTTGTTACTACTAGCTTCTTGTTACCACTAGTAGGGCACTTGTTTGAAACAGCTTCTTGTTACTACTAGTAGTAAGGCACTTGTTACTAGTAGCTTCTTGTTACTACTAGTAAGGCACTTGTTTCTACTAGCTTCTTGTTACTACTGGTAAGGCACTTGTTGCTAGTGGTTTCTTGATACTACTAGTAAGGCACTTGTTTCTCATAGCTTCTTGTTACTACTAGTAAGGCACTTGTTTCTCATAGCTTTTTGTTACTACTAGTCAGGCACTTGTTTCTAATAGCTTCTTGTTACTACTAATATGGCGCTTGTTACTAGTAGCTTCCTGTTAATACTAGTAAGGCATTTGTTTCTATTAGCTTGTTGTTACTACTAGTAAGTCACTTGTTACTAGTAGCTTCTTGTTACTACTAGTAAGGCACTTGTTTCTAATAGCTTCTT